GCACCCTAGGAATTGAACCCAGAGCCCCAGAGATGTGAGGTAACAATGCTAACCACTGCACCACCATGCTACCTATTGTTTAGTTTTAATTTAGTCACCACATTACAGTAAAGATTTTTATTCTTTAATTCATTTTTTAAATTAATGCTGTCTCTGCATAGTGATATGTGTGTTCAGATCTAAACAGTCAATGTCCCTAGACTGAACCTGATCTAAGGTGTTTCCTCTTGCAGACGCTCAGGAGACTTGTTTCAGCAGCTCGGGCACAATGTCACTGTCCAGATGCCTGCTGTTTGAAGAAGGATTCCCTCCCCACATTTTGCATCTCAATGATCCCAACTGCACTGGGACTGTTGTTGATGGTCGGGTGGAATTTCTCTTTGACAATGACAACCAATCCTGTGGAACATCACTGATGGTACAGTAACTCCTGCTATAGCGTTTCTCATTGTTGTGAGCATTCAGCACATTCAATATTCTAATCCACTCATCTTGACTGCCAGCATAGTGATAGAAGCCAGTATTAAATAGAAGGAATCACACTGTGATTCCAAGCTTCTAATGTCTTGCTGTATGTCTGCATCCCTCATCAGCGAAAAGAAAAATCAGAGGATGTTGCTCAGAAAATATCAGGGCTCAGGAAGAGGTTTATCTGTCTGGTTACCTTTTCAGTAGACTGTGCTGTTGTGCCTTGAAGACAATTATCATTCTTCCCTTCTGACCTTTGGTTATAGTTTTTATAATCCATCACATTTCGTAATTTAAATGCACACTATCAATGTTAAATAGGTTATGTGTTTTATCTCTGTATCTTTATTTAGTAGCAGTGATGCACAGAATTATGTGTGTCAGTGCCAAGTACAGTATATTAATTTGCCTGCTTTACACAGCTAGAAATTTATATTTTACATGTGTTATCAAGGTTTGCGACTGACCCTTATACAGTATAAGCCTGTAATACATCTGTGTAAATATGAGTTACCCCCCAATTTCAATTCACCATTACATCACTTATCATTAATTTTGAGATTTCATATGTATTTTTCACAATGGCTATCATGTTACAACCTGTTTAATATACAGTATGTACGGTGGTTTAGATAAATTGCACATTTGTGTTGATTCAACACAAGTATTCAACTGTTTATCTCAAATTCAATCCTAAACCAGGCGGATACTGTCTAAACTTTCCAGGATAATCCAAGATACAGTATTTAAGGGCACATCCTTCTAGATGGAAATAGTCTCTAGAGTACTGGGAGTAGCCACTCAATGCTTATATTAACCCTAATAAGAAGATGCAACATTATTTTTTCCAGTTGTCAGTGATCTTTATTAGGATCTATGAAGTATTATCTTTTAAGAAAATGGTTCAGATTTGTGGTACAGACTAATTATTAGTGGTTCACTTATAAATCTTCTTACTTTCCCTTTTTTTGCTCCTTTTCAGACAAACGGCACACATTTCATCTATAAAAACTCCATCCAAGGGGCCATTGACTCCAGTGGTGGGGTCATCAGTCGGACAAAGCAAATAGACCTGAAGTTCAGCTGCGAGTACCTACTGTCTGAGACCATGTCTTTGCGCTTTGGCATTCATCCATTGGAGAGGTAGGCTGAGCTCTGTCAGTCTGACTGAACAGGAATTCAAATCTGTCTCTAGATCACTAGAAAATATATTTACTTCTGTGAAAAACAATCTGGCTAATACAGCAAAAGGATGATAAGTTTAAAACAATACTGTATATTAGATCAAATTCCTGCTGCTGCAACTCTCCCAGTTACGTAGTTTTTAAGATATAAGATTGTTCTTTTAATCTGATGGATAGCGTTTTACTTGTTTATGAGATCTATGAACATGAATGAAGCGTAAAATAGAAACTGTATAAATACTGTACAAATGGAAAAACGTGGAGCACATTCTCTTCATCTTCCTTTTAGCAAATGTATTTATTTGCTAAAGGAATATAAACATTGTTTTTGGCTTTTTACTTTAAAAGTACTGATATGTGTATAAACAGTGAATGCATGTTTTTGGTGTTGGACAAAAAAAAATCATTTTAACAGCATTGTGAGGAAGAAGATACCATCAGGCATTGGGACCTACCAGGTGCGCTTGGTTCCTTACCAAGATCCACAGTTCAGTCATCCTTTCACGGGGTCTCAAGTGGACCTAGCGCTCAACCAGAGGATTTATATTGGAGTTTCTGTGAGTGGAGTGGATGACCGGCAGTTCTCCAGTGTCCTTGAGTCCTGTTGGGCAACTCCTGTGAACGACCCATTTTACAGCATTCGATGGAACCTCATTACCCACGAGTAAGTTCTGTTCTTGACTCTTTTACCCTGTTTGAAGTAGCATTCCCCATACTGTACAAACAAACACTTGTTACTATACAGTACGTTTTAGATCAACTGCATGAATATGATATTACACTTCCCCAGCTATGTTAGCTGTGTCTTGCCAGGCATCAAGCAATATCCTCATAAATGAACTACTTCATTTTCTGCAACAATTCTCATGTGAAGATCAAACTGCCACCAGGGCTGCATAATAAGCAATAATTGCAAATGTTGAAACATATACAGCATACATAGAGGACTACTTCTTTTTTATGTTGTGTGCCTTTATATGAAGATTGTTAATTGTATATTACAACTTCTTTGGCGCCTTCACCTGACCCATTTTCTCACAGACATTTACAATCTTTTCCAAGACACTTTCCAAGGAGCTCTGAAGTCATAAGTGTGCAGAAAACTATTATGGAGAAAGATGACATTTGTCAGCTCTAGCCTTCATAGTGGGTGAATGTCTTTTCTGCCAATTACTGTAATTCAACTGTTCCTTTTAGGAAAACAAGTACTCTTCTGCATCAAGAAGCACAGTGTTTTCCTCTACACTGTGTTTACACTGAATGCTCTATGCTCCAGGTGCCCCAGCTCTGATGACAAGACAGTGGAGATCATCCAGAACGGTGTCTCTACCACCAGCCAGTTCTCCTTCATGATGTTTACGTTTGCAGGAAACACCTCCACAATCTTCCTGCACTGTCAAGTCAAGATCTGCTTACTTGCAGGCAATGACTGCACTGCGGTAAGTAGAGCCCAAAACTCTACTTACATCCATTTTACATAAATTGCATACTTTTTAATCCCTGTCTCCGTTTCCATAGCGGTGTTACCCAGGATACCATCGCAGAGTGGCCAGGGCTGTGAATTTCCATGATGGAACCTCAATTTCAATGGGCCCTCTGACTTGGTCACAGCAAAGATCAGGTACAAAATAGCCATTCAGAACATGTAGTGAAGAAGAGTAAATGTTTCATTATGCAATAGAACTCATAGGCATTGTTTAGACAATTATTATTTTGGTTACAGACATGTATTTTCAGTGTGAATGGTTTGATAGTAAAGGCTTCATTTTGTGCACATTAAAGAAATGTCTGGCAAGCCAAAGAGACCTTTTTAAACTTTGCAAGTTAGGAAGATAATTGCAGGATCCCAATACTGACACCAGGGAAATGAACGAGAAATAAAATAGCACTACTTTGCACATATATTCAGACTCCATATAATCTGTAGACTGTAGACAGACAACACTTGGATTTTCCAGTTTTGCTCAGTCTGTTTTTCCAATTGACTTATTGCTCTCTTCATTTCTTACAAGGAAACTGTTACTTAGTTAACTTGTGTGTAAAATGTTGACTGAGACAAAGCCCACAAATGAATGTGTTTTGAGTAAGAAACAATTTTGAAATGCCTGAATTATAATCCAGCATGAGTGTTTGACTGACCTGGTTAATCTGTCTTGTTCTAGATCAAAAAGTTCGATCTGTGACGGATGGATCGTCTGTTTTCTAACCCAGCCTCCTTCTGCTGCTGTGTGTTATTAGTGCTATGCTGATGGGAGAGATATCAGTGATCTTTCAAATTTAAAGACTAAATTTAGAGTTTCAGGGATACTTGTATTGGGGACACACTACTACCTTTTCATTGCCATTTAAGCAGTTGAATGTTTGGTATAGTATAGATGGAGTGAGTCATTAGCTATACAATACAGTTCTACCAATATTCCTAGATATATTCCATTTCCTTCACCAAGCAAACTGTTTCTAATAAACAGAAGAATGCTAATTAGTAAGCAATTCAGCACATTCATAGTATGCACACTAGAATATCTCCATTTTGCAGTGTTTCATCTGATGAATTCTAATACTTTTGTAATACATAATGTCCTATGAAGTCTGTTCTAACCTATCAGAGAAACATCAAAATTTAGTTTTAAGATTTTTAGTGGTCCTGAAGAGTGACATTAATGTGTTGAAATAAATAAAACAAAATTGTTTGTTCCTGAGTTTTAGAGTTTTATTTCTTTCCTCTTTTTTAAATTAATCCTAGTGAAGACAATCATAAAATGTTAAAACAGTAAATAAAATGGTATTGGTAAACTCTCTTTTCTGGTTATGTATACGCTCTTTACTAAATTAATCTCAAATATCAATTACAAATAAAAAATCAATGTTAGGGAGGATTTGTAATAGGCATTTAAACTTCTGAATATGTAAACAAAATCTGTTTTTTCAGTATTCTAAGTGTCAAATGTGGATTGTTTTTGAAGGATTAATAATACTAATAAAGGATTAATACTAATAAAAAATAAGTGCTTCTATTAAGTTTATTTTCCTTTCGACTGTGTTTATAGGTACAGTAGAAAAAAAATAAAAAAAATTCTAATGTCTAGTTTTGGTTTTGATAGCAAGCACATAGCTTTTTGTCCTCCTTAGTTATTGTTGAGAATTTACAAAGGTACTGCATGAAGAGTTTGGGGTTTTGACCATTTAATTTATTTCACTTCTAAACACTGGGCTGTCCAGTTCAAAGACAAAAATATCTCCTGTTGTGTTTTGCCCACTGTCCTCCCTTCTGGGCACTGCTACTGCTGATGCCATCCCCATGGCCCTGAGGACAGTATATCTGTCATCCTGCCTCTTGTTGAGCTAGGAGGTGTTCTACAATTTCCTCTAATTCAATGGCTGCTTTTCTGTCATGCCCTCTACAGCTAGAGGGCGCTCCTACTCTGTCCTGTCCCTACTTTCTTGTGCTTTGCTTGTCCTTCTGGTGTGTCTCTGTCTGGGGCTATATATTTCCTCTTCATGCTTTCCTCCTCGCTCAGCATCGACGTTCGGATGTCCTGAGACCCGCCTGGGATTGGATATGTTCCAAGTATCTATAAATCGATGATTTAATAGCTCTCCAGGATCAGGTTTGGCCCATCCCAAACTATGACAAAATATACACATGAATCCAATTGTTCACAAGTCTGGATAGATTCATTGATTCATATCTAACAGTATAGTGAAGACATCATTACATTACTAATGTAGCAAAAATACATAACTACTCCTGCCCCCCCACCAAACAGACTTCTGAATCATGCAGCCTGATGAGGACTTACTTTGGGTCCAGATGATTTGTAATTTCTATTACACCAACTAGCATTGATCACACTCAACCTGGGCTTTATCAGTGTGTGCTATGACCATCCATCTTCTTCCTGGTTAACATTATGGTGATGCGGTTTTTAGATCATGTGCACAGAACGGAAGGAGTCAGCCTGAAAACCCACACAAAGTGTCAGTGTGTTCCAGCAGACTACAGACCCATCAGGGCTCATGACTGAGGACAACAAAAAGGAAGAATGACTAAACGTATAAAGTAGATTCTACTTAAAAAAGCTACAAAAAAATGGGAAGTGAAACGCTCTATCAAGAAAGTGAAAAAATTACAATTGCCAGTGTAAGAAATGAAACAGAAAGGCTGATATTCAGCATATACTGTAGTATACACATACATCCAACTTGTAGAAATCTTCAGCCTCACACGAATCACAAAACCAGGGGCACAGCTGCTTTAGAAAAAGGTAAGTGCTCTATTTTCTCATTCCTTACTCTTTGACGTGAATTTAGATGATTTATGTTGTGTGGTCAAATAAATAATTGGTATTTATTTAAATTTTGGTTTGAATAAATGTTGGTTTTGTTCTTTTCTGAATTGGTAAATCAAGTAAATATCAGTAAGGGCTGCAGGTTTCTCCATGGCTAGACAATTTGCATATAGTGTACATTTCCAACATATTGCATGTGGACTGTGATGGAAATTAATTAAAAAAGTACATTTTGTTTGTCTTCGCAGTGGCTCCAGGGAGTCAGTTAGGCTCACAGCTGCAGGGATGGAACTGAAGTTATGGAATGGACTATTGTTCTGTCAGTGTTTTTGCCTAAAAGGTGCTTTTCTTGTATCTGGAATAGATAATGACTTTGGACTTTGCTAATTCAACAAAACAGTGAGCCATATTCTTCAGAAGAATATTTGTAGAGTATGTAGAGGTCACTGTTGGGGAGGGGATCATAATTCATTGTTTGAAATTGTAAAAGATCATGAAAAACTAATAATGCAACTAATTTAAATTGAATGTAGGACAGATTTGAATTACTGACACAATGATCCCTTTGAATCTGTGATCCCCAAGCATTTAAATTTTTTAAGTGTGTACATGATCTGTATGAAGGAAATTAAAGATGGGGTGGTGGTAATAACACATTTCAATTTTTTAAAAGCCATCGTTTGATTTTTGTTTTCATTCTGTTTCTCTTTATTGTAGGAACATCAATGTTTGCTTTCATTGACATACTATATAATGATTTATTTTAGAAAAAAATATCCTCAGGATATGTTCCATTTTATCAACTATTTTTGGTTAATTGCAGCATGTATTTTCCTATATTACAACAGAGGAAAATCTTCACATGCACAAGACAACGAGAATGTTTCTGACGCTACATATAAACATTTAAATTAATGTTTTTGTAGAAAAGCATAAAAATGAAAACAGAGGATAATTCAAGAATTATGGTCTTTTTGCAGTGATACATGTTAGCAGCACCTTCAATGAATGGACTGCAGAGACACCATTCCAATTATCTGCACTGCTTGGTTCTTGTGTTGTGATACCCTGCAACTTTAACTATCCAGGATCAGAGAGAAGTGTTTCTCAGATGACTGGCATCTGGCTCACAGAATCCTATGAATATATTTATCACCCAAGTGGTTCTGTAATAGATAGATTTAGAGGACGTACAGCACTAGTTGGAGATTTGGGACAGAAAAACTGTTCTCTGAAGCTTGATCCAGTGAAACAAAAAGACAGTGGTCATTATTTCTTCCGGATCGAAATACATGGATTGGATAATTATTCCTATGCCAAAAATAAAACATCAGTTTTTGTGAAAGGTAAGCTTGCACGATCTTTGTTGCCACACATGTTAGTCACTTTTAGATGTTCAATGTGAAGAAAAAGGTGGAATTACGAGATAATTAAGGGGGAAGGGGAATTACATTTGTATTATTAAAAAAATCTGGCCTTGCGAACGTGAACATTTTTGTACTACTGTTTAGAAATTAAATGAAAATTGAAAAATACAAACATAATTTCTTCCAAGTAATGTGCTTTATCTTTTGCTGCAGACACAGCAGATCCTCCTTCTATATCTTTAAAAGGGGAAGCCACTGCAGGTATTGATCTCTCTGCTTCCTGCTCAGTGTATCACACCTGTCCTGTTCACCCTCCTACAATCACCTGGAGCCACAACAGCATGATGCCCACTGTTTACTCAGAACCAATGGGAAACGGACAGTGGAATTTGACATCAGTGCTGACCTTTAAACCCCAAGCCAGTGACCACAGGAAAACTCTGACCTGCCGGTCTGAATACAGGGGAAGAAAAGCAGCAGAGAACTCTATCATCTTGAACGTGACCTGTAAGTCATTTTATCAAATTTACAGTCAAGTCCGGTGGTATAAAAACAGAACTGCATAGGTTTTAAACCTGTTGTAGAGCTCAAAGGGCAGTAAGACTTTAGTGAAGTATCAGTTTTCTTCTATTGCTTCAAAAGAATAGATGTGCATTTGGATAAATGACATGAAAGGAGGAAATAAAATAAAAAAAAAACAATTAGAATTGGGGATAATCTCTGAATACCACCGTATTATTCTGAGTTCTGGATAAATGCAAAGCTAAATTTGTTTTGTGATTTACAGATCTTGTGGTTTAAAGGGGGTACTTCATCATAAAAATAAATGCCTAACACTCTAATTTTACTGGCATTTTTTTAAAAAGGTGGTGGCATTTCTTCCTTGCAAAGCTGCCCATCACACATTTTAGACGACCGAGACTCAGAACTTAACTATGATGTTCTGACTCTAGGAGGAAGGAAAGCTTCGATCAGATGACAGTTGTTGGATTAGAAATTGTCATATAGTTTTTAAAGACTGGAATAAAATAGACATTGGATTTTGTTGCTTTCCAATAGAACCTAAGACAGAATATGGACTAATCATTCCATACCGTTTCTTTCTATATTCCTAAAACCAGATGCCCCAGTAAATGTGAGAATGGAATTTAACCAGCGTGGGATAAAGGAGGGTGACTCCATCATTTTCCGGTGCTCCAGTGACAGTAATCCTCCTGCACACAGTTATCAGTGGTACAACGTCAAGGGGGTTCAGACAGTGAGACTGCAGTCAGAAAGAGACACCTTCACTGTAGATAATGTGACCAGACACAGCGGAGCCTTCTATTGCACAGCACAGAACAGACTGGGACAGAGCAACTCCACTGCCATTCAGAGCAATGTAGAGTGTGAGTAAAAAGTGGCCTTTTGGGTAGCCTGTTTTTTTTTTGCTATGACCAACTGTTGTCCTTTTATACTAAATCATGTACAGTACCATTGGTTTCTTAGATCTGAAAAACCAGTTATAATGGAGTACATAAAGTGAAATCAGGTCACGAACTCTGACAGTTAGCTAATGTTGGTGTGTGAAATCAGTTTTAAAAGTACAGTGAGAGCACAGGTGGTCATTCACTTCTGGTGAATATGACGTTTAACATCAGAAAGCAGCTTTTGATATGAAAATGGCTTTTTAGTAGCCATTGTCTGATATACTGTACATCACATCCCCAAATTTAGATTCCTCTCTATGGGGGACTAGGTTTTTTTTTATGCCCACCAGAGGTGGAATTTCTTTCCTCAAGAATATTAGAGTCCGTCTGAGTTTTTTAGATCCTAGCCTAAAATGCAGACATTTCCTCATTTCTTAATGTTTATAACTAATATTTTGTTTTCCTGTTCTTTCTATTTTTTATATTTTTTTACTTTTGTATGTTTTTATTGTTTTTTTTTTCATTTGAAGCACGTCAAGTGCTTTCAGGTACATTTAGGAAAAGCATGACACCTGTATAAAATATGTACTGTACAGTATAGAATTCTTCTCATATGAGCTGCATCATGTCGTTTTTAGATGCACCAGAGATTAAAGGATCCTCCTGTAATCTAGGCAACAGCTGGATAATCTGTCAGTGCATTGTGGACTCTAACCCGCCTGCTGAGATTAAGTGGCTCTTTCCTGATGGGACCCTGCTGAACAGGAGCTCAGAAAGACAGGACTCAGTGACAGTAGACACCCTGCAGGGAGCTGTGGGCTTCATACAGTCAATTTCCTGCTATGCCAGAAACACACATGGCAATTCCACAGTGGAACTGTATGTGCCCAGTGCTGGTACGTTGTTTCCTTTCCACATGAAAGTCACAAGCATTCACACACATGAATTGAATGTGAATAATGTTAGTCTATCAATGAACAATCCCAAACCTGCCTACAGTATACAATATCCTGTGTTGGCCCATGGGAAAGGAAGTCCCTTAAAATTGCTATTAAAGCTAGGGAATCCTGCTTTTAAAGTGAACATAAAAGGAACGACAAGCGTGTTTCACTTATTGCGAAGCCAAATCCTTACCTTACCACAAAGCACTACCAACACAATCTTTAAGAGGAATGTGATTCACCCTTTTTCGCTGTAATCAAATTCCCACCTGCTTTGTTAATCATATTTTTGACTACTGTCTACGTTAACTTGATCTTTAGCTTTCAAAGGCAGAAGTGGTTGAGACTGTCAAGGACCAGGGCCAGAGTGACTTTGTGCATGCTACTGAGGAGAGATTGTAAATTATACAGTACTTATACTTGTATTTTCTAGATATTCCAGGAAAGGATCAAAGGAGTTTCATTTTCTTAAAATGTTAACAAACTAGTTCATAGGTTGTAAGTCTAAATAAGAAAAATATCCAGCACCTTGTATATTGCTTACTTTTGTAACTTTTGTTACTGTTGTTTTCAGGTTCTGCATTGTATGTTGCCCTTCCTGTTTCTATACTGGTGGTAGCAGTCATTGGAGCCATTGGAGGTTTCTTACTCAGACGGAACAGAAACAGGTAATCGGTCATTTTGTTTGGTCTCAAACTGAGATATACAGTAGATAGTGCATTCTTTTTATGACCTGTGTCTGAGTTTTATTAGACTAGAGCAGCTGTCTTTAACTGTGGTCCTGGAGGGACTGTGTGTCTGCAAATTTTTTGTATCTCTTTAAAGCACCTGACAAGCTGGAAAAAAATATAAAATGGTCCACTTAAACAAATAGCAAACATATTTAGGTCATTGATAGCTGAACTGGAATACAAAGGTGCAGGCACACTGTCATGGAAAAGACCATGAACTTTTCCAGAGTTTCTGATTCACCAGTGTCACAAAAAGTACAATATTACATTGTGTGGAATAATGGTCAATCAGCCATCTGGTAATGTACCTCCAGTAATGTAAACTAGGTAAACTATCTTAAAGAGAGACCATCACTGTGTCAAAAGAACCCTAAGGTTAACAGAATTGGAAATAAAACATGTTTTTGTTATGCTAGTGAAAAATGTCTCTTGAACCTTTGTTTTTGAAAGGATGTTACATGTTTCTTTCCTGCTTTTTGAAAGGCTGTTCCCTGGTTATTGGTTTTTAGTCTTTTTTAAAAATAAATTTATGCAAATTATTTCTGCTACTCCCATTCTTGAAGTAGGCAATTGTGTGTCTTGCCTCACAGCTATAAACCCTGTGACTGCATGTGAGGGATAATGAGGAAATACAGGCAGATACCCTTACCTGCAACAGTATACCATATGTCTGCAATTGCCTGGAAGACTGTGGCAGCCAGTCTTGCTAAGACCAGCAATCAGCCAATTGTGTTTCTCCGATTATGGTATTCTGTTTATAGTCAACTAATGGCATGACCCAGGCTTGAACCCATAATGTAAGAGCTCAAAATGCACTTGGGCAAGCTTATGTATTGATTCAGCCACTAATATGGTTCCTATGGTTTCATCCATTGATCACCCATCTTCATAATTCCCTGTATTTCACAGAAGATTCCTTTAGAGAAGGAATGAAATAATTTAAGATGGGCTATGATACATCTTACAATGTTTCCTGTGCCATTAGACACCCACTGGACAGAAGATAAGGAAATTAAAGTGATGTGAGGATAGCTTTTGTGGTGACATGAAAGTGAAATAAAGACAGTAAAATGATGTTTGTTTGGAAACACATGGGCCTCTGGCCAAATAATTCTTCTTTCTACACTCTACTGAAATTTTTTCAAACCAGTGGAACTAGTTCTGATAAGAACAATACCATTCTTCTCAGTTTTTCAATAGGAGACAGCATTTCACTTAGGCCACTTAAGGTGATTAATACAATTATTTTATATATTTTAGCAATGAAGGTGACCATAGTTGGTTAAAGCTAATGAAATTGAACCAGATTGAGCTCTTTAAACATTGATAGGTCAATGGTGAACTACAGTATAAGGCTGGATGGAATGTGATTGTTCATATCCTGGGTTGAACACTCCATATATTAAAAAAGTGATTCACTCAAAATTTACATTCACAGAATGCTGTTGATGTTTGTTTTTTATTTGTTAACAGGAGAACATGTGACAAGCCTGCACCCAGTGGAAAAAGCCTAAGTCATGAGATGCACGATCCTTCCTACATAATAAGCAGAAGGTAGTATCTGTAGAAGAAATGTTCCGTGCATACATGTTTAATGAGCCACATTTTTGCTTTTTATCATTATCAACAGCAGCAGCAGGAAAACGTCTTCTGTATCAGTGTATGTATAACACATAGCAACATGTAACATTTATAACACATCACAAAACATATTGCACTCAAGTCGGTTGTTAGAGTCAAAATTATGTTTATCCTTGACATTTGCATTGGCAGCTTTAATGGATAGTGGAACAAAGGAATGTTTGTATCTGACTTACATTTGGGAACCCTAAAATGTTTGCCAGAAGGAAGAAGTTGATATTCAGAATTGAGGAAGTGGGAAGGCTCTGATATTGATTTTCTTGCCAGTAATGTCACATATTTTTTTCCTCTTGCTTGCATTAATTTATTTTGTGTTTCTAACTTTGTCTTGCCTGTAGTTTCAGATTGCCACATATTTTTTCTAAAGATAACTCTAAACATGATTTGATCATCTGCCTTTTGGTGCATCAACCCTTCCTCTAGTCCCACTGTATGGTTTGCTCCACTGTGTCTGGTCACATTGTTTACAGTGAAGGTGTCTCTGTCTGACTGCAGTCTCACTGTCAGAACCCCCTTGATATTGTACAATACCACTGACAACTGTGTGCAGGAGAATTACTGTCATTGTAGCACCATAATGGAGTCACCCTCCTTTAGTCCATGCTGCTTAAACTCCGTTCTTACATTTATTGGTGCAACTGTTTTCAGGAGTATAGAAAATTGTGGATGCGTGGATGTTCCACTGAACAATATGATGTAAGACTTATTTTTTTATATTTCTTATGGAAGGAAAATAGAAGATCTTGAGATCCCGCACTATTCAGACTATGAAGTCAATCAACATGTGTATGGAAACATAGAGGTATAGTGCATGAACTATTTATAAATTAAAAATATTAGACAAAAATACATTTACCGTCAAGTACCACCAGAAAATTGATTTTTCTCTGTTGTACTTGATGGGTAGTGTCCAATTTACCTGAGGGGGAGGCACAGTCCTGTTATATTTGAGAAAGCAGAATTTTTTTTGTACTACTTTTGTAAGGTTCCACAGACCTTTAGTATGATTAAATATTTCACTACCTAAGTGCATCTGAAGTAAAGAAAGTTTAGTTCCAAAATACATGGAACTAAAATGTCTTGAATACTTTAATCATGTCATAAATGATTGCTTTTATAAACACCCAATGAGACACTGTTTAAATTGTTAGCATGTGAAGAGTCAATAGATTTCTTAAGGTGAAGGGAATTTACGTTGCAGTACCCTGCATCAATGACATGCTGTTTTGTTTTTGTCTTTTGGGAATTTCACTACAGGTGGATGAAGAATATGAGAATATAATGGAAGAAGAGATTTATGCAAATATGTAGATAACCGAGTACAACAGTAGAGCAGGACCGAGAATGGAAACATCTACATCACACACACTCCCGACTTCCGTGGCTGTGAGTGGGTCAAACAGCGGTATGTCTTCCCGACATCTGTGTACAAATACCTGGCTTTCCACGGGAAGTCACTCCCGTCATCCGTGACAAAATTTTGAACTTATTTTTTGCCCTGTGTGTGGTGTTTTTCTATTTTTTTTTACTCTTGGTGTTTGGTTTCCTCACTTCCTGGTTTCTGTGTTCCCTGGTCTCCTGACCCCTGTTTCCCTGGACTCTTGGTTCCTATCTGTTGTGAATCTTTCTCGTGTGGTTTGTTGCCCTGGTCTCCCAGGTTTATTTTCTGTTGTGCGTACTTTTGTATGGGTTTTTTGTCTCGCTCCCCTGATGCCCGGCCTGGCCCCCCCTTTCTCTACTCAATAAAGGTTTTTACCCTGGAGGAATGGGGTACCTCTCAGGCCTGCAAATGGAACCCAGCTTGACAATTGGTGTTTCATAGCAGCCACAGTATAATAGAAATCCACATGAAAATGAACAAATGAACTCTGTAATTACACCATAGCCTGCACTGGATTATTTGTACAGAATGCACCTGAATGTAAAAGAAAAATAAAAGTATGAATTAAAGTAAAAGTCGGACTACAGAAAGGTTTAGGCCTTTTATTCATTTTAGTCATTTCAATTTTAGTTGCATATGTAATCTGAGAATCACACCCAGCCTTACTATGGAAGACCTGAGGGAAATGATATTAACAGTATTAATAAGAATTCAGCTCCAAACATCTTTGACTTCGTATGAAGTAGTTTCTTTTGTTTAATGTATTTTCAGTTGATTTCCTCTTCATTTTAATTTCTCCCACTGTTTATGATGTTGAACCCAAAGATGTCTCTTGACTTTATCAGCACATTTCCAGCTTTGTAATATTCTGGCAAATTTCCTCACAATAATTTCACTAGTATAAAGATTCATTTCTTTCAATTACATTTTGTATGTCATTTTATTTCTAACATAACCTGAGAAACCCTTAAGCAATATTACACAAGGACTGATTTTCATAGAACAACACTTTTCAGCAGCATAGTTAACATACACATCTCACTATGTGAACGCTGTGTCCATGGGTGACAAACAGGAGCATTTCCAAGAAACAAAATTACTGACCAATGTTAACTTCCACATCATTTATCTTATTATGTGACACATGCAAGACTGGGCACAGAGTAAGTGTGCAGATTCCCCAAGATCATACTCAAGCCTCTTGCCTGCCACTGCAGTACAATGTATTGAAATTGACAAAGTACACTGTACACCAAAGTACACCAGTCTTTACTGGTAGATGGTCTGGCTGACAGAACCTGAAAAGAAAATAGCTGCAATTACCAGCTATTGGAACAATAGGTGTAAAATTAAACCCTCACCTTTGCCTTTCATTGTTCACAAATACCAGATGCACCCTCACACAGCTCTAAACACAAAGACATGCACTCCATGCCTGCCTCTGGAACAAAAGGTTCAACAAGATGCTTCAATATTCAATTTCTAAACATTTGACTGTGGTGATTTGAAACCACATCTATGGCACAAGAAAAATACCAGGTGAAAAGCAACATGCCAGCCTGCACTACACTACTAAAAGAAAAATCCATATACTTAAATCAAACCCCTTAAAAAACAAATTAATAAATATTGCAATATTGCAATATAAATGTTGCAGTTAGGTAATATTGCAGTTAAATGGATACATACAACTAAATGGCTTGTTGGACAGTAAAAAATAATTTTCTACCCTGATTTCTAATGTAGATTTATTCTATCCAGTGTTCATATGGGATTAGAGGTTAGTGAAATTTGGGATTACAGATTAAGGCAGGAGTTACAGTCATGTCTCCAAGCCTACCTCTCCGCTAGGTGGGTATTGTTAAGACATCTAGCTTTTTTTTTACTTTCAAAAGTGCTCATAATTTTTTCTATCCGCTTCCACATATGAGGATAAGGAATATGTGTCATAAAAGAGATCTGCTCACGGAATGTGCACTGTCATCAAGCATGAGTAATATTCTCACATAACGTACTGCAAGATCACAGGCAACTGCAAGGTATCACTCATGAAATGTTGCACCTCAGAGGACAACGTGATTTTTGTGTGTGCTTTGAGATTCTGCACTCTTGATTAGTGGCTCTTGCTAGATAAGCTTGGAATGAGTCCATATAAGAATTTTAAGTCCCATTTCTAAACTGCAGCTGCACAATAGCGTGGTAGTTAATGCTGACGCCTAAGAGGCTTGGGACCAGGTTATGATTTTACCCTTTTGGCATCTGAAGGCATGAACTTTATATTCACCGTGTAGTTTGTTTGGCCTTCCAACTAGGTGCTCCAGGTTCCTCCCACCACCCAAAACCACACTGAGATTCTCTTCCAAACATCCTTTTTCTCTAGCCCTGCGATGGACTGACTTCCTTTCCAGGATAGCTGGTGTGTGGTGAGCGTAGTGGTGCACTATGGCTGCCATCGCATCATCCAGGTGGGGGTTGCATATTCCCATTACCTGTGAAGCACTTTGAGTGGATTGTCAAGAAAAGGACTATATACGGTGTAAGTGTAAGGAATTATTATTTATTATTAATCAGGATCACAGGGGAGCCAGAGCCTATCCCAGCAAGCAACTGTCACGCACTCTGCAGCCAGAGGGCGCTCCTTCTCTGTCCTGTCCCTAGTTTCTTGTGCTTTGCTCTCCTTCTGGTGTCTCTCTCTCTGGGGCTATATATTTCCGGGTCACTTATTCTGCTTCGCTCAGCATTGACGTTCGGATGTCCTGAGACCTGCCTAGCACCAGGTTGCCGCACCGTCCAAGGCCTGAGGGCATAGGTTTCTATACGGCACTACAGAAAACTTTGCACTGCTGAGCCCTGACTAACTCCCCATTCAGCCACTTCGCATAGGGTCTTTTTCGCTCTCCAGTATCTCCACGGTTTGTCCCTTCTGACATCTGTGACAGCAACAGGGCCAAGGTAGGATACTGTGTGGGTCACCAGTCCATCACTGGGCACACACTCACACCTAGGGTCAATTTTTCTCTTAACCAGTTAACATAAGATATAAATTTCTGGACTATGGGAGGAAACACACGTGAACACAGATAAGGCATTAATTTCTCCATTCCTTTACAAACAATCATTTGGAAAGTAATATAGAAAGTGTAACTACAGTAGATGAAACAGGACTGATCACATATTTCAGCTTTCAAACTAAAGTATGCAATAACTTGTACACTGCATAGGAATGGAATTTAATTTCTCGCACTGATTGCTCCAAGCTTGAAAAAGGGCACAGAGTACAAATGTTCTTTGTTCGTATTGAGGTATTTAGTTAGTATTGATATTAAATTAGGCTCTTTTTGGTTTTATCACCTAGTGTTGTTGGCATCTCAATTTGCAAGAATTACTTAAGATACATTGAGTTTTTTTAGTTTTGGGGGGATTATGATGCATACTGTATTTCATTGGTTAATTTTATTTAAAATGTTATTATATTAACCTACAGTACATACCTAAATAATTAAAAAGACAGAACAGCCGTGTAAATATGTCCTAATTCAAATTGGTTACGATACTTACAAGAATTATATAGTAGATTGGAGGTTTTGCCTTGCATTAGTCTATTTTTGCCACATAGACCTGCTGTAAGAAAATATGGGGCAAAATTGTTGAAAGGGTTTAATATGGGCTGGGAAATCCACACGTTTTTTTTACCCTGTGTGATTCTCTGGCCTTACAGCCCATCTTGAGCTGTAATTTTCCCCTTTTGTTTTGTAATTGATGGAAGTAAATTAAGGTGGTCCCAGGAGGCAAATTGAATACAGGTACTGCTTGCTGGGCACAGGTGCTGTCAGTTAAGACTCTGCTTAGAGTATATTAGAGTAAAGGAGTTTATTGCCAAATGTACATGTACTAGTGTACATTGGAATTCTTATTCACACCATTCTCTCAAGACGTGCACAGTACCGCAGATGACAGACAACACCACACAATGTAGACAGTATATTACAAAACAGTACATAATAATTAAAAATAAATTATTTTTTAAATAGTTAAGGAGGTAAAATAAGGAATGGCAAAGAACATTGAGGGATGTTATCATTTCACAGATATTCACTTACACAATACAAACTTAATGGATGTCTTGGTATATGCTGAATCTAAGTGAATAACTCGTCTTTATTATACATTTCTTAATTATTCATTTTTACTAAGCTTTTGCTTATGACTTACACTTGTTATTTCTTGAACACTGCATTGAATATTGAATGAATACTGCATAATGTTTAGAAACATTGACGTTTTTAAGTAAATTGCAAGGCATAGAAGGTGTGAGCTAGTGCCTTTGAGAAACAGAAACAAAATGAATATGACTGGAATGTATTCACCCTTGGGAGAGGTTGGAGAAGGAATGCTTGTGGTGGCTCCCTTTCTTGATAGGCTTAACTCTTAACCAGTGGAGGCTGGCAATAAATTTGTTCACATCCATTTGTGCTACATACTGTATACTGTAGGTCATTTAATGCCAAAGGAAACAAAATGTACACTGTAGCATTTTGGAGCCTCCATTCCATTAAATATAAAGTTTTCATACTACTGTATATACTGTACCAGCCTAAATCCTAAATTGTTGACCAGTAGTTTGTCCAGTGGTCATCTTATATTTTGTGGTGGTTTTTCCAGAGTCATACATATGAGTAGGTTATTTGGTTTCTAGGAAAACTTGTCCTGGTGTGAGTTGTTTGTCCATGTGTTTAAAATAGGGATAAATAGGCTAGAAAACGGATGTACTGTATGCTATGAAAATGGATGAATGTTTATCCCCCCCAACAAGGAACAAGGAACCCACGCTGCACCTATATAATATAATATATATATATGAAATATAATTTCAATATTCATGTGAGCTTGAAAATCTTCATCTATTCTTGAAAGTGAAACAAGAACAATCTATGTCAAACTGGCTTGGTTACAATACCGAAAACAGAGATCTGTAATCTTCTGACTAGGAGGTGATTAATTCTAAGTCTAATTCAAGAAGGTTGTTCCTTTACTGTACAAAACAATATTAGTGTAATTCAATCAACTAAGAGATTAAGCTTCTCATTTCTGTAACGATCAAAAAGAATGTTGTACGGAGGCATGTGTTTATGACTTTATGATGAATTTACAGCATGTAGTTAATAAATTCAGCATTTCTAAGGTGAATTCGTTCAGTAAGGGATCATTGATAACTTTACTGTATTATATATTTTTTTAATGTGATAAAAGAGCATAGGAAGGGCTACAAAAACAATTTGAACATTATAAAAAGGTGGTTTATTTCATTTTAATACATAGCAGTAAATTCATTAAATGTCCCACAGTGACATCAATAAATTGTTCAGCAAAAGCTCAAAGACAAAGAATCTGACTGAGGACAGGACAGGGCTTAAGAACCCGGCACTGATGAGGTACTGTGATTACCCATTTAGAGGGGGGCAGGTGGCATAGACAGCTGCCTTACACTTATATAGTGCTTTTCT